ATCCCAAGTCAGCACCGCAACATCATGCCTTCTCCTTACTTGCTTCCACCAAGTACTTGCTTTGCCTTCTAGCTTATACACTACAAATTCCACCCAGTACTCCTCCGGAACTCCCATAGTGTTTAAATGTTTCACTATGGAATCAAACCAATATTCAGCCAGCCTCCTGGGGTCCACCCTCACTGTTAAATGCAGGGATTGATCCACGTCTAAATTCACGAAAATAGCATTGCTTTCTGTCTTCGGCCAGCCACTCATTCTGAGCTCGGGTGGCCATCCCTTGGAAAGCAGCATCCATGAATTCCTCATTCAGTAGTGCTGGTTAATTAACTGACCTACGACGTAGCGGCATCTCCTTTAATTGAAAATAAACTAGACTCTTTAGTGGATTCCTGATATCATACATGTATGCACAATCCCGTGATTTCTAAACCTAAGGCTCTGATACCAAGTCTTGTCACGCCCCAAAACAAGGGTTAGTGACGTGGAGGCTCGTTTAGAAGTTAAACATAATTAAGAAAGTAGTTAAACATTTTGAAATATAATAATCAAAATAAAAGTAAAATATTAAAGTAATTTCCAAACAAGCCCCACATTTTTACTAAAATTAAATAATAAGAAAGTGATGGGGACTTTCACACTTTCTGATAAAGTGGTTTAAAAACTGAGCATCTGGCATCATTCAGGGTTTCACCCACAGGATATACAATATTGTACATACATGAACATGCAAAGAACATTTATAGACATCAACCACTGTCTTAATATTCAAAATTATAATCTTAGAATTTACAATCCTTACATTTATCAACAAGCATGAAAGAGCACAATTTCTTCCTTAATCTACACCAGCTAGTCTACCTGAGTGTGCTTTTCACTCAGCACTGCTTCTAGCGTCACCTGGGAGGGGTTTAATATTTATAGAAACAAAATAAAATGTGAGCAGAAGGCCCAGTATGATGTATTTTAAGAAAACTTTATAAACCAGTAAATAAATAAATAAGTAAATAAATAAAGATATTCAGTTCCAACACAATAGCTGGAGCCTAACATCCCTTTTTCTGAAAGGAAGTATAAACTTTAAATTATGTATTACAGGCATCAATAAGTAATTTATACTATGATAAATTACTTACACAACCACAAGCACAAGCCTTAACACCACTGTAATAGCCCAGTCCGGGTTTCAAGTTCTGCCCCTAAGGATACTCTCTGCATATGCTATCTAGGCCATCAACAGGCTTACCAGTTTGCGAGATATCTTATCTTAAGAAATCATTCATTAAAACTTTGAAACAGTTCGTTATGATTCCAATAGCTAAAATCAAGCTATTGTGTTAAAAGACTTTTTTTTTATCAAACATGTCATTTCTTTAAAACATTTGTATTGGCCAAAAACTCTTTAAAAATAGGCTATCAAAGAAAATGATAAGAAATCCTACCTCTCAAGTACCAAACATGTTGCTAGCATTGCGCTATCCTAGCTTTCGCTTTCTCAAAGCGCTTTAATCAGATTCCACAACTAGTATTTACACAAAACAACACTTTAGGATTCAATTCTCATTCCTAAAGCAAATCAATCTCAATTATACACTTCAATTTCCTATTAGTGTGTCTTAATCTAAATCCAAGTTTCATAAATCATTTCATGTTTTAAAACATCATTCCAAGGGTTTTGATCTTAAAACATGGATTAAAGATGCTAATCCATCTACTTTAGGTTCCCAAAAAAAGCTAATTTGGGTTCTCTTTGAAAATCATGGTCAAACAGTATTTTAAGGCAAAACAGGGTTGAACTCTGTGTGTACCAATCGACCAGTGATAGAGAGGTTCATCTCCACTGGTCGACCGGTGGAGAAGCGGCCGGTCGACCAGTGGGAACCAAACAGGTCGGCCAAAATGGCTGATCCGTCGAAAACTAGGCCAAATCCTGCAAATCTGAGTTCAAATCTGAGATATTTTCCAAGGAATTCAACAAATCCAGGTTCCAGATGATAAATCAAGTCCAAAGAACCAAATTTCCCCAAATCTCATCATGATTTTAACCAAAATCCATCAAAATCCAATTCAAACTAACAATAAGTTTTTCTAACGGAAAAATCTAAGATTCAAGAGTAGTTTTTTAGAAATCTTACCCCAAATCCTTCCCTTTATGTTGAAAACTTCTTATAGTTCCTCTTTGGTTCAAAATCCTTGAGAAATGGTGACAAATTGAGAGAGAGAGATAGAGAGAGAGAGAGAGAGAGGGAGAGAGAGGGAAACGACAAAGAGAGTGAGAGAGTTGAGAGGGAGCCACGGGAAAGAAAGAAAAACAAGAAAGAAAAAGGAAAGAAAAAGAAATTAAGAAAAGTAAAGGAAAATTTTAAAAGATATTTACAAAAGTAGACCAGAAAATGTGTCTACACACGCTTCTGGGATAAAAATATAAATATTAAAAATGTTTAAATCCCTTAAAAATATTTAAACTTAAATACCAGAAACATTTAATAAACATAATTAATTAATTAAATCAGATTAGACACATTAATAAATCATAATTATCTTAATAATCATGTTTAATTTCTCAAGGTGTTATACATGATATATGTATTATGTATATGTACATATATATTTGAAGATTAATTGCATAGTTAAAAAAGTAAGACTCTTTTTTTTTATCAATGGTTCTATTTCTTATAAAATCTTTTAGTTGGTGATTAATTGTTCACTCTCATATAATTTTTTTTTTCTCACCTGTAACTACTACGAGTTTTTCTCTTTTTCAAATGTACTGGAAATTTTTTGGGAGAAATTTTTTGAGAGAAAGAGGAAAATAGGTCAAGACTTGAGATGAATTAAAATTAATAGGCCAATAGTTTATATAAGTTAATAAATAGGCCAAATTACTGTTTTCGTCCATAACTTGTCTGGTTATGAACCATAACTTGACAAGTTATTATCCATAATTGTTCATAACTTGTCTAGCTATGAACCATAACTTAACAAGTTTATCTATAACTTATCTGGTTATGAACCATAACTTGACAAGTTATGGCCTATTAATTTCTATAACTAAAAATTTACCTACATACTTTCTTAAGCTTTTCATATTGGCCTATTTTCTACTATTTTCCAAATTTTTATGTGATTATTAGATAACAATATGCATGAAATTTATATTCTACGCCAAAGATGAGATTTGGAAAGAAAAAAAAAATCATCTAGGGCCTCATAAAAAAAGTTTCGCCTATGGCCTCATAAAATAAAATAAAATAAAAAATAAAATTCGCCTATGGCCTTCATAATATCTTAAGCCGGCCCTGGAGAGAAACAATGTTGATTGTAACAGAGAGAAGTTGTGAGGATTGTAGTGTTCTAGGGTTGGGAAAATCTGGATATGTTAGGTTTTATCTACCGGGTATTTTCTCTGAAAGCACATTTGTTTATGGGTTTTGGGTCTGAGATTTCTGTAATTGAGAGAGTTCTTGAGTTTGTAAACTTTCTTCATACTAGTGGAAAGAGTCTCTTGTGAAGGAGCTCACGAATCCTCCGTAAAATTCGTTTGTTCTTCATTCTTGAATTTCTGATTCAAATCTGAGTTTTGTGTTAGATTCGCTTTAACAATTAATTAGAAAGGGATGAAAAATATTTTTTGTCCAAAAACAGATTTTTTTTATAAAAAATAAAAACATCAAGTAGCTTTTTAATATCATATTTAAAAAAAAAAAAATACACAGCATACCAAACAACTTTTGCGAATAACAAGGTACTATCAAATTGATTTGAATGTTATAAACATAACTTGTATTTAAATATAAACCTAAGCTAGTCTTAATTGGCGTCTGTAACCAAGGGTGGTTATAGCTGCATACTATAAACTATAGGCCATTTTAAAAAAAAAAAAAATGAATTTACTATAAACTATAGGTTAATAGAAGAGGTTAGTGAGGATGCAAGTTGACTTTAGATAGCGACTTAACTCCCAAGTCTTTCATTAATGAGATGCACAACCAATTTTATCTGTGTATCATTAATGAGATGCACACCCAATCTTATCTGTCGATCTCGATAGTTACATAATAACAAAAATCACGTATGGTTCCTGTCAGTTTGATTTATTATAATATGCGTCATTTTAAAATTTGAAGTGAGTGGAATTTAATCTAGTCAATGATTCCATACATACGACGTGGAAATTATGCAGACATAAGAAAATTAATTTGGTCAATGAACTTTTTTTTTTTTTTTTTGAACGGGTCAATGAACTATTTTCTCTAATAAGTTTCAAGTTTTAGGCAAATTTTACGATGATTGTAGATGATATGTTAAAAAATCATGTGTGTACTTAATTCTGAGTGTACCTGATGCAGGGCATACTCTGTTTTTTCAATGTGGCTGATCTGTTTAGTTACTAGGTTACTAGCTTTGCTCATTGTCGTTTCATTGTCGTTTGAGACTATATTTTGGGTCCTTTTTTTGCCGGCTAAAACGCAGACTTATTTATCGATGTAGGTTCTGTTCATTTCACCTATTTATATTTAGAAGTTGAGTTTTGTTAAACAGTTACATATAACTTTTTTATTACATTAAAAAGTTCTCACATAAAATCACATATAAACTCGAATTATAAACTCAAATCAGCGAACTAAACAAACCCGTAATATCTTTAAACTATAAATAGCTAATTATCAGACTCTTAAGAACTAATGAAGTATTATTGAATTTTTTCAGAGATTAATTTTCTCTATTTGTCTTTATTCCCCAATTTTAAGGTTTGGTTCTAGTGACCTTATCCACAGAGAAACCCCATAGCTGCGGCTACACCAGTACCATTTAGGAGTACTTTTCTTATAACAAATGTCTGGTAACAACTTTGCCAGGTCACTATACGGGAAAAAAAACGTGAAATTAAACGAGAAAATAGAATCTAACTACTTCTATTTACGTTGTTTACGAATATGCCACAACTAGTTTAGTAATGCAGTATTCAGAGCTACAGAGCAGTCATTCATTCGTTTGTCATGAGTAGTCCTTTAAGCAACTCTGTTTCATGGACGAATTTCGTCTCTCGAGTTTGGTTTTTCTTCCGTCCAACAGAAAATCAAGATACGGTGCAGGAGGACCTCGTCGAGGGCTTCATATGGCTCGTCGGCGGTTCTTACTTACTTCTCGCCTTGGTAAACTGTGTAATTTTGCAGTATATGGAGAAGAACAACATGTGGATAAGAAGAGAGTGGAGGTTACTGGATGCGCTTTCAAAAGATTTCAAAACAGCTAACAAGTCAATGGTTCAGATAAAAGAGAGAGCCCAACAAGTGTGGGAGTCGGTGCACAATCTAAGAGGAATAACTCACAAATTGAATGAAATCGAGGCGCGGTGGGTGAAGAAAACAGCCAAAGTTACTTCTGAGGCCGAACGATGCACCGTAGGGTTTGAGGAACAAGTGGATGGAAGAAATTTCCTCAAGAAGTATTTTCTATTCAAGAAATTCATAACGATAGTTGATCTTGCCTTTGGAATGCACCGGACCAAGGGAGGGATAGAGAAGCTCCGTAAGGAAAAAAATTATGCAAATCACGTCGTTAGAATACTGGAGGAATCGAGGATGACGGTGAGAAGACTTCAGGACAGACCAATTGATGAGAGCGAGCATCCTTCAGACCCCCCAAGGGCTCCTTTTGACTCAAAAGTTGCATCGGACCTTGAACTCCTGATCTCCAACAGACCGAATTTGGTTTGGGGGATGTCAGCGCAAATTCCATTCGTCGTAATGCAACTGCATCTGCTGGAGGCTTTCATAAAAGATTTGCACGGGCTCAAACTAGAAAGAGCGATAGAAAAGGTGTGGCTGGACGAAGCACAGAACATCATTGATCAAACAAATAATGTCATCAAGACCATGTTGCAAGAGACGGCAAATAAGGTGAGGTGGCTTTCCATTTTCAAAGATTATTGGGGTTTGAGGCGCAAATTTAAGAAGAATATAAAGAACGTTAGTGCCGTGTTATCTCATCTCCTGGAAACAAAAGAGAGATATGGTTTCAAGTTCATCAGAAGAGAGTCGTCAAAGGATGCCAATTCCAACGTCCCACAACCCCCAATGGAGGACAACACTACTAGTCTTATTTCATCTGCTGTCAGAAGCATTCGTAGCCACATGCAGGATCAGGAGCCAAACTCACTAACTTTGTTGGCCAAGGAATTGGAGGATTTGGAGAAGTTACTGAAAGATCAAGAAGCAACTGAACGGGCGATTGGCACGAGAATGGCTTCCTACAAGCTATTGGAGAAAATGGCTTCGGATGCAGAATTGTGCATGAAAAATTCACAGTGGACAGAGATTAACCGAATCCATGAAGACGCCAGTTTTCTTAAGAGATGTGTACAAGTGTATAGGATCGACATGATGAAAGAGTCGTCCTCAGTTGTTGGTTTGGAAGAAGACATACATGAATTGGTTTTGTCTTTGAAGCAGACCGCAAATACTAATAATGAGGCGCATGAACGTCATTCTGTCCTTTCGATTGTGGGGATGAGAGGCATAGGTAAAAGGACACTGGCTAAGAAAATTTGTCATCATAGATCCATTATCAACCACTTTCCTGTTCGTCGTTTGGTTTCTGTACAAGAAGAAAGCGATGAGATAAGGCTTCTCCAAAGCGTTGGAAACCAGATTTTGCAAATCCAGGAGAACGAGAATGAAAAAGAATACTGGATAAACAAGTTGCAGGTTTTCCTGAAGGAAAATCGATGCCTCATAGTTCTGGACAACCTTTTGTTAAAGCAAACTTGGGATAGACTCAAACTGGCATTAATCCCAGATGGAAGCATCAGTACTATTATGCTCACCACACGCGACAAAGCAGTAGCTTTACATGTCAATCCAAGTAACATCCACCCACTTCGGCTACGAACTCGAGAGGAAAGCTGGGAATTGTTCACCCAAATGGTCGATTGCCCCCCCAGCGAAGTGGAAATCCTCACAAAGAGAGTGGTCGCGAGGACTGGAGGCCTTCCCCTCGCCATCCTACGTCTTGGATATCTATTATCAGGGAAGAGTGTCACTGAAGAGGAATTGTCAGTGGTGCTTGAGCGTGTCTCTCAAGTTCACTACCAACAACCATGGGTATCGACCTGGGACACCAATAAAGAATACCTGCAGTCACAACCAGTTCTTGAAAAATGTCTTTCCTACTTTGAATTGTTTCCTAGGGACTTTGAAGTCCCTGCTAGGAGACTAGTTGCACTATGGGTTGCACAGGGATTGGCACAGAATACTGAACTCAACGAGGAAAGAACGGAAGAAACGATTGCTTACGGGTATCTTTTGGAGCTGATCAATCGTAATATAATTCAAACAGTTGAAAGAAAACGTAATGGAAAAGTCTCGACTTGTAGATTTCCTAGCACCCTAAGAGAACTCTGGTTGAAAAATAGACGTACGACCAGGACTCCTTGCTCTTGGTCCGTAGCGAGCTTTGATCGGCAACTTGCTTATCGTTTCGATGCTGATGAAGATAGCGGTTACAGTCGCAGTATTCACAGTCTTAACTCGAATATTCTGGGAGAGGACAGTTGTCCACTCTCTATTACGGTCTTTGATAGCCGAGACGGAGAAAGGCTAGGTGAAGAAGTTCGTGATTTTCTTCGACAAGGCATCGCAAGTGGGAACTTCCGAGACTTACAGGTTCTTGATCTTGAACGTGTCTTGATACCCCACTTGCCTAGTGCAATTGGGAAACTAAAGCATCTGACATATCTAGGCTTAAGGTGGACTCACCTTGAGACTCTTCCACCGTCAGTAGGCAAGTTGTTGAATCTCCAGACCCTGGATTTGAAGCATACTAATTTGGGAACGCTTCCTAGCTCAGTTTGGAAACTTAATAAACTTCGGAACCTGCACTTGAGCGAGGTTTGTCGAATCAAATTCATGCCTCAAATCAGCGCCATTTCCATGAAAAATCTGCACAAGTTGTCCGGTGTATTTGTGGATCACGAGAGCCGGGCCTTGATGGAGGTTGTGGACAAGTTGAACAATCTTCGAAAACTGAGGTTAACATTCCAATTAACGCTGGAACAACAAAAGAGACTAGCAGAACGCATTCCGCGACTGACCCACCTAGAATCCTTGAGTCTGAAATCTGTTAACGAAGACAACCAAGCTCATTCACTAAGGCTAGAGCCTTTGATAGATCTTAAGAAGCTCTCCAGCCTGTGTTTGTCGGGAAAGCTAGAAAGAAGAGCATACATCTTAAGTGAACTACCAGAAAGCCTCACTGAACTCACCTTGTCGGATTCGGGACTTTCACGTGGCAACTTGCTACTTCCTTTCCTAGGGAACCTTCCACAACTTAAATTTCTCTCTTTCTTCTCTGGTTCTTATCAACAAAATAGAATGGATTTCTCTGGTGGATTTCCCAATCTTCTAGTTCTGAAACTCTGGTGCCTTGATACGCTGGTAACACTGAAGGTGGAAGAAGGTGCGATGCAAAAACTAAGAGAGCTTGAGATCAGGTCCTGCTTGAACTTGACGGTTCCCACTGGTTTAACGCACTTGAAGACTCTCCAGGAATTGAAGTTAACTAGCATGCCTGCAAAATACACAGCTGATATTGAAAACGCCTTCGCGGCAGCTAAGAGACAATCTCCAGATACAATCATTCACTTTCCTGCCATTAAGATAACTAATGAATCACCCGATGCTTGCTAATCGCATAGCAGGTATGTCTTTGATGTTTTTAACGCTCTATCTTCCTCTTCAGCTTTTGATTTTTTTTTTTTTCCAGCTATTCTTCAGTTAATACAAGGATTTTTTTTTTAAGGGAGTTAACTCAATGATTAACGGGCATAAAAATGTGTCTATTAGAATTCAACTTACACAGCTAATTGATGTTATTCTTGTTTCAGAAGCCATTTCTCCTCGGTTTAGAGAGAGAAAGTTAGTGAGAGAGTCTCTAAAAAAGAAAAAAAGTTTCAGTGTTTGGCCGGAGCTACGCCGCCGCCTCTAGGTGCGTCGCTGGGCTTCCGGCCCCAAGATTCGGTCCCCAGTCTCCTCTCGATATCGGCTTTCTTGTGATGGTGGTTGTGCATGGCGGCGCATCCATTGGGCCAAATCTACACTTCAGCTAACGTCCCCTCTATATTGCCGTAGTCCTCCCACAATCTTCCACCTCCCTCGAGTGTGCTCTCTTTATGGGGTGGCTCCGTTTTGATCTGATTTCTGTTCCACGGTCAATGGCTTGCTGCTGGTGGATTTTTCTTTTATAAGGGCATTGATGTTTCCATCCCTTTGGTGTGTTTTTTTGTTTTAATTTAATATTTTTGTTTCGATAATAACGGAGGCGATGTCCTCCTCTTGTGTCTCCCAACCGTTTTGTAAATAGTGTGGTGTATGTTTTCTGACTAGAGTTCCCTCTATGTCATGGTGTGATTGTTTCCATTATGTAGTCTTTGATCTCGGTCGACTGAGTTAATCCATCGACTGTTTTGGCGTTGTTTAACAAGCAATGACCAAGCTCAATATTTATGTGCCGAGCGGGTCTTTCCTTATTTGAGTCTCGGTATTTGTATTCATCTCTGTGCTATTTTGATATTTACCGGTGGATCCAGTCATTAATTCGGGGTCAAATTCCTTTGTATTTAGGGCTATTTGTGTCTTATGTAATTTGTTTTTTGTGAAATGAAATTTCCCATTTCAAAAAAAAAGCTCATAAAAAATGACAAAAAAGGACAATTATAATCGACTTAATTACATAACAATTTATTTTTTCCCTTCACACACTCTACATGTCATATGCTCAAATTATAAACAATTGATATTTTGAAATCTATGATAAAACTTTAATTTTTTCCATTTAATAGCTATTTCAAAAAATTACATAAAAGTATGTTAAATTTTCTTTACTTTTCTATTCTATGGTGATTGTTCTTTTACCTTTTATTTCCTTCATGTTGTATTAATTTTTTTATTTTTCTAATTATTTCATTTTTAAAATGGCAAATCATTTTTTTTTTTTTGTTTCTTGTAAAGTAGAATTGATTTATTTTTCATTTTGTTCTTTTTTATGCTTATTATTTTCGTTTATTCATTTTTCATTCTTTTTCCATTTTGTATTTTTAATCATACATCAAAAATATAATATCTTTATTGACGTATTTTTTATTTATTTTTATTTCTGGAATTATATTGCTTTCTATTTTATATTTTTGAGTGTCCTTTATGTTTTCTAAAAATATATTTTAATAATTTTCGTTCTATAAAAAAACTTGTCATGCCTAAAGCTTCAACTAAAAAAATAGAAAAATATAGAAAAGATAATATTAAAATAAAAAATTAAAATAAAATAGTATGTGTGGAAAGAAAAATGATCAAGAATTAATAATCCTATGAAAATAATTTGGCGTAATTTTAGAATTATAGGAGTGTGTAGAAAGTAAATATAACTATTTTAAAATTATGTAGGGTGTGTGTTTAGAAAGAAAAATACTAAAGGACACCACCAATGCTAAACACCACCATCTAATAGAAGGTGGGCCTCACCTATGGGTCTCACGGTACATGACGCACCTTCTATTAGATGGTGGTGCTTAACACCATCGGTGTCCTATAGCATTACTTGTTTAGAAAAGGGTATGGAGAGTAAAAAGGGATGTGTAGGTGGAACCACCTTTTTATGATTGGCTATCCACGAGGTGACTTTGTTCCCTATCTTTTTTTTTTTTTTTGTAACAGGAGGTGACTTCAGGCATTTATTGCTTAGTTTTTTATGCCTCGTTTATTTCACCGATTCGAGTTTTCAGTTTTAGATTTCTACAGTAAAAAGCTCTCAAAAAATGTCACATCTAACTTTCTGTGCTACAGTGAAAAGCTCTTAAAAAATGTCACATCTTAACTCGAATTGAAAACTCGAGTTTTCAGTTTTGGATCATACATAAAGCTACAAGTTTGGGCCAGACAAAATAGGCCAGCTCGAGGCTCGCTACTGTTGGCACGGGCCTAGCCTGACCCTAAATTTTTTGGGCTTAGGACAGGGCTGGGCCGACCCTCTCTTGTTTAGGGCCGGCCCGAACATCATACTTTTAAAGATTTTTTTAAAATACCATATAAAATTTCAAGTTGGGCTGGGCTGGCCTTAAACTTTTTAGACTTAGGAACAGGTTAGGCCAACCCTCTCTCTTTTAAGATTGGGCCAGGCCAATCTGAAATTTTTCTTTAGACCGTCGGGCAGTCCAAACTTACACCTCTAATCATATATGATTTCCTTGTCATGCACAAGATTGAATAAAACGAGATATTATCCCAAAATAATCATAATATACAAAATGGAAGGGTTAGCAAAGTGGTTCCATTTCCAAAAATGTTTAGCCTTAAAAAAAAGGAAAAAGAACAAGAATAAACTGGTGTGCAGTCTTCTTCCAATTAAAAAAAAAAAGTAAATTACAGATTTTATCCTTTAAAAGTGTAGTGTTCAAGATTTTTACCACTTACTCTTGATTAATATCTTTTTACTAATATAATTATTTGACTGAAGAGTATTAATCAAGAATAAAAGAGTACAAATCCAAGACTCATACACTTTAAGAGATTTTTGTCTCTTTTTCTCTTTAAATAGAAAAGTTGAATTGTTATAGTTTGAACGTTGGAGGGAAAACACTGACATATTAGTATGTAATTAAAGGAAAGATATTGATTAAAAATAGGAGATTTGTTGAGTCAAGTAAGTCATACATAAAAGGGAGTTTATTTTTAAGCAGCAGAAGAAGAGAAGCGTAAGTTAAAATTTTTTAATTAGTATTTAGATAATATATGAAAATTAGCTTTTTATTTTAAAAGAGTTTTTAAATATGTTTAGGTAAATAATTCAAAAGTAACAATAAATACGTAACAGAAGGATATTATTGAAATTGTTAATTTATTGTTCATAAATAAAAAAATTAAAAATATAAATAAAAAAGCTTTTTATAAGGGTTTTTTTTTTTTTTTTTTTTTTTTGCATTTCCCATAAGCTCTTTTCTTTTAATAAGAATTTAGGAGGTGGCTTGTTAAAAATAAAAAAAAAATAAAAAACTTATAAAACCAAAAATAATTTTATATTGTCTATCTAGATAGACTTAAAAATAATTTTTAGACTAAATAAGTTAAAAACAGTTCTATTAACCTAGTCTAGTAGCGGGTTTTAAAGTACGCCAAAAGAAAATGTTGAATACACAAATGTTTATGTCGTGGTGTGCAGTAACATTGATAACAAAAGCATTCCAAGTTGTAGACGTACCGAGGAATCTGTATTCTAAAGCAACGAATGGTGTGGTGGGTTGAGACCATCCTAATATAAAATATTCAAACTGTGAACTTTTGTTTTGGTAGAACCAAACTGGTTTATAAACATTTCAACATATTTGAATTATTCTAAAAAAATCACAACATAAGGTTATTAATATTGGTAAATACATAGACTCAATTTTATAAATAAATAAATTATTAATTTCATGTTAACCTTGTACCTTCGTCTCGAAATATTGCCATCAGTAGCTTTTCAGACATCCTATTTCTTGCATCTAAATTACATCCAGAAAACGATTCCCTCGTTCCGGTTGTGTTCAACTCTTTTTCCACAATGTCACTAGTGGTTAAGGTCTAGACTAGAGCATCGTGTGAAATCTGAAGTATTGTATTAGGATATATAATACACCCAAGATATAGCCAGCAAAAAATAATACACCCAAGATATCGAATCATGTTGATAGATCCTAAGGGATTAAATTGCCATGTCTTATGTACTTTGTTTCTTGCGAAATGAAATTTCCCATTAAAAAAAGAAGCTGCAGCAACCCACGAACTTGTTCTGTTCTCTTTTTTACATTTGGAACAGCGTTTCTTAAAGTAAATCTTCACAGTGAAGAGGAAGGATATCATGGCACATGTATTTCCCGAAAGGTTCAGGAAATTTTTGACCGAATGGAAGATCCCTGCAATGGTTCTGTTTAGCCTCGTGTTACGAAGCGTCTTGATCCTGATGGGAAGCAGGAGAAAATACTCGACAAAAATCTGGCTCAGATTCATCCCATGGCTAGCTTACTTGCTAGCAGACTGGGTAGCCGCACTCTCACTGAGCTTAATTTCCAATTTCAGAGACGACGATTCGAGAAACCCAAAGTACAGTATAAGAGCGTTTTGGGCGCCTTTCCTTCTTCTTCACCTCGGTGGCCAAGACACCATCACTGCGTATTCCTTGGAGGACAACGAATTATGGTGGAGAAACACTGTGATTCATGGTGGACAGGTGGTAGTTGCTTCCTATATCTTACTTAATGCCTGGTCTAGTAATGAGCTCAACTTTCTGTCTATTCCCATTTTTTTTGCTGGGATCGTTAAGCTCGGAGAGCGGATCCGGTCTTTGATGTGTGCGAGCAGCGAACATTTTAGGAAGTCCTTGTTGCCTTCCCCAGATCCAGGCCCCAATTACGCCAGGTACATGGACGAATATAGCTCAAAGAAAGCCGAGGGATTCATGGTCTTTCCTGCGAGAATCAACGAAGCTCCAACTATTGGTCATTACCTTCACTCTGTCCCAGCAAACACCTTTATCCCATATGCTGCCAACTTGCAAGATGCCTACTACTTCTTGCAGATTTTCAAGCGCCTTTTCGCAGACCTCATCCTCAGCGGACACGACATCGTCAACAGCCAATTGTTCTTCCAGAACAGACCCTGTGAGGAAGTTTTCAGAGTCATAGAGATTGAGCTCGGATTCATGTATGACTTGTTCTACACAAAAGCGGTTGTTATTTACTCCGTCATAGGCGGGATTCTCCGTTTTCTTAGCTTCTCCTTTGTCGTCGCTGTGCTAATGGGCTTTTCCATCATTAGGAAACGAGATTACTCACCAGCAGATGTAATCGTCACGTTTATATTGCTCGCTGGAGCAATCGTCCATGAGATAGTCGCTCTTTGTTTGCTACTCCGCTCGGACTGGACAATGCTTTGGCTCACAAAGCAAAAGAACAGAGCCGCGAATCTCCTATACAAAGCCATTTCTTTAATTCCACCGCTTAAAAAGAAGAGGTGCTCTAATAAGATTGCACAGTACAATCTGATAAGAGTTTGTCTCAAAGACAAGCCTCCAAAGTGCAGTCCTCTCGAGAAGGTACACTGCTTTTACGACGACTTTAAACAGAACTACTTTCACAAGAGTCTTGGCATTCCTAAGGAGTTGAAAGAAATAATCTTTAAGCGGCTCCTTCAAAAATCAACGAGTGCCTTGGATTTTAGCACTTGCAAGAAGTTATGTTCTGAGAGAGGCCGTTGGGTTCTTCAGGAAGAGAGATGTCTTGACAAGCTCTGCTGGAGCATTGAGTCTGCCGAATTTGATCAAAGCATTCTACTCTGGCATATTGCAACAGATTTATGCTATTATTCTGATCTCTATGAAATCTCAAGCAATTCTGAACTCAAAAGAAACTCAAACCCCGACCGTCATCATATTTCTAAAGATATCAGCAAGTTGTTGTCGGAGTATATGTTGCACATTCTAGTCATGCGCCCCTTCATGCTGCCCAACGGGATAGGACAAATCAGGTTCCAAGACACTTGTGCCGAGGCCATTGAATTCTTTAAAGAAAGAAGATCCACAGCCAGTGCGAAGAAGGCAGCTTGCGAAGCATTGCTCAGAGTGAGCACCGAAATTCCTACATCTCAAGTGAAAGGAGACAGAAGCAAATCGGTGCTATTTGAAGCGTGCAAGCTTGCAAAAGATTTGCAATCACTTGAAACAGAACCGAATTGGAACAAGGAAAAGAAGTGGGAGTTGATAAGCCATGTTTGGGTGGAAATTTTATCTTATGCAGCTAGTCAATGCCAAAGAAATCAGCACTTACAGCAGCTAAGGCGAGGTGGTGAGCTGCTCACACACGTCTGGCTTCTTATGGCACATCTTGGTATAACTGCACAATTTCAGATTTCAGATGGCCATGCAAGGACTAAGCTGATTGTGCAGTGAAAAATATGTGGTAAACAAATCATTTTCATTTCAAACTTTGTAGTAGGAATAAGAGGGCTTATTGCAAGACTAGACAAGAAGACATGTATGATTTGCTCCATGTATAGATGTTTCAGGTTGCATCTTTGAGGGATTTGGCGCAGTAAACATTTCCTTTTAGTCTTTCCTTTGTCTGTTGGTTCATGGATGGTATGGTGCATGTCCATGCATTTTGTGGCTAATCAAGTCTCTGGTTGAAGGAAATATTTATGCTAGTAGCACACAAGCATATGCCTTTGTTAGCTAAAAATAGACCAACTTAATTTGGCTAGTATATCCATTTGCCATTGCTTGGTTCCTAAACCATGAATACTTGCTATAATAGAAGGAATGAATAGATCGTTACAAACATCATAAAAGACTATTTGTGCTAATTGTTAGATATGATGTTATGCCTGGTATTCTAGATAATGTTGGAACACTATCTGAAACAATACTAACTTACTATTTAGATTAATTTGCTAAAGAAAACAGTAATGCATAAAGTAAATAGACACATAATATGGTATCGTAGTTCACTGCGCATACCTACATCTGTGGGGTCACACTCAGACAGTAAATAGTTTCATTATACTTCAAGAATTACAATACTGGCGGACTTATTCACTCAATGACTCCCTCCTAGACTATGACGCCGCTGTGATAAACCCTCACAATGACTCTGTTTAGCGTGCACCACACATCTTCAAATCCAACAACTGAACTCCCTTCAGTCGAACACACTTTCTCACAAAAAGACTCAGAAACTTCAATGAGTTCTCTCCAATCTCAACAGCCCTCTCTCTGGAAATTTCTGCAGTAAAAAAACTATTTGCTCAGGAGCCGAACCTTTAAAGACCAGATTACTAACCGATTAACAGAATATAGTTTTTTTCTATCTTTAAATTTTGAATCTGTTATCTCTTTCTTCAAGGTCTTCCTAAGCATGATCTGTAGAATCTTTTTCTTTTGAGTTTGAATTCCAAAACCACTCGGATTCACCTTTTTAGAATATCAAAAAAACAGATCTCCACAGGAGATAAGCTCAACTACTGAATTATGATAAAGTCGTGATCTGTATTTCCTTTGCCTTATCCGATTAGCACCAAGCTAATCTGCAAGTCAACGTTCTGCCTTTTCTGCACAAAATCCGATTCCACCAAGTACATAAAACAACACAATCTCCATCTTTAAAAAAAATCCGGATAATGTCTTCTAGAACCTAATTTTTGAATCTATACAAACAAAATTGTTTTGCCAACACAGCCAACTAACAAAGAACCTAACTGATAGAAACCCATGAACTTCTAGGTAGTTTTCTTTATTACTGAAACTGAAAGGAAATTGGAAGAACGAAATACAGATAGGAGAAATTTGAGGTTCCTCTGCCTCCACAGACTCAAGACTCAAGCATACCAAAAACTGCCCCCCTATTCTCTACGAGTTTTCTTATATAACCTGTTCCCCCTGGCGGACTTCCCTATGCAAAACTAACTCCTAACAGAAAGCATGACCCATCCGAATCCCAATAGGAGTGCCAGGTCAGCCAATTCCCAACTTATGCTGCCCTCCCTTGAGGGATAAATATTCCCTTTTTGTTCCTCCTAAAGTAAACGAATTTGACGGGAGGGACATGGGCTCTAACATCTCTCCCCCCCTCAAGAACAACCTTGTCCCCAAGGTTGAAATCTGGAAATTGGGTCTGAATAGCGAAGATAGGCTCCCATGTAGCATCCCAAGTCGGCAGACCCTCCCATTGAACTAACACCTCGGGCACCTGTTTGCCCCCCACGGAGCGAACCCGGGAGTCAAGCACTGCCGACGGAGAAACCACTAATTCCAACTCGTCCGAAAGGTTTGGAGGCAAGGGTGGCCCGACCCCGCAAGCCCTCTATACGCTTCACCTGCGACATGTGAAAGACAGGGTGTATTTTCGCCGTGGAGAGGAGCTTAAGGCGGTAGGTGATGAGATTAATCTTGTCTAATACTTCAAACGGTCCATAAAAATGCGGACTGAGTTTTTCATTAACTCTACGGGCTAAGGATTTCATGAAGTAAGGGCGTAGCCTCAACAACACTAAATCGCCAACCTCAAAGGTCACGTCCCGGCTGTGACGATCCGCATACTTCTTCATCTGCTGCTGTACCATCACAAGGTGTTCCTTTAGAAGGGCCAGTGTTTGGTTCCAAATCCGCAGTTGCTCTTTGACCCCGTGCACTACTGCGGAACCCTCCTCGTAGCGGTGTAAGGTAGGTGGATGTCTGCCATACACAATGAAGAATGGAGTATGTTTTGTGGAAGCACTATAATTGGTATTGAACCAATATTCGGCCCAAGGAAGGAATGTCTACCACTGTCGGGGCTTGTCATTAGCATAGCAACGTAAGTACGTTTCAAGGTAGCGATTGGTTACCTCCGTTTGGCCATCGGACTATGGGTGGTAAGCAAAACTGGTATGTAGCTTGGTGCCCTAGAGCTTGAAGATTTCCTTCCAAAAGAGACTCATAAACAGCGGGTCGCGGTCGCTAACATTGGACTGGGGCACCCCATGTAAGCGAATGATCTCCTTGACGAAAAGCTCGGCAATGGACTTGGCAGTGAACGGGTGAGCAAGGGGGCAGAAATGGGAGTATTTGGACAGGCGGTCGACAACTACCAGGATGGTACCAAACCCCTTGGACTTGGGCAGACCACAAATAAAGTCCATAGAGATGTCTTCCCAGATGGGTTGCGGCACAAGCAGTGGTGTTAGTAATCCCGCCAGTGAGAGAGCATTGGTCTTGCATTGTTGACAGGTGGCACAACGACCAACATATTCCCGAATCACCCGTTTCATGCCCTTCCAAAACACCACTGCTGCCAAGCGCTTGTGAGTACGAAGGAAGTGAGAGTGGCCCCCAACGACGGCATCATGGAACTCGTAAAGGAGTTTCATCACCCATGAAGATGAGGCAGGGATAACTAACCTTGACTTAAACAAAAGCAGGCCATTTTGGATGCTATACCCAGGAACCGTCCCTGCATCCATACGCACTTTGGCCGCTACTGCCACACAATGAGGATCCTCAGACTGTTCCTGCCGAAGGGTCTCAAGATCAATTGGCTGTGGAATGGAAATAGCCGTCAAAGTGGCCAAATCATTCTCCTCTCTCCGGGACAGCGCATCAGCCACGCAGTTGGCATCTCCAGGTTTATACTGGACCTCAAAGTCAAATCCGAAGAGCTTGGTCACCAACCGAAGCTGATCGGGCACCAAAACTCGCTGGTCCATGAGGTGACAGAGACTTTGCTGGTCTGTTCGGATGATGAAGTGATAGCCGAGAAGGTAGTGCTGCCACTTTTGGACTGCTAGAACAATGGCCAGCAGTTCTCTTTCGTAAACTGACTTCCAACGAGCAGAGGAAAAGAGACCCTTGCTAAAATAGGTGATGGGCCGACCCTCTTGCATAAGCACTACCCCCACTCCACTACCGGAAGCATCTGTTTCCACTACAAAAACATTCCCAAAGTCTGGCAAGGCTAAGTCAGGAAGGGCTAACATCAATCGCTTTAATTTCTGAAATGCTTCCTCAGCAAGGGAAGTCCACTGATATGCTCCTTTCTTGAGTAAATCAGTCAAGGGCCATGTGAGTACACCATATCCTTCCAGAAAGCGGCGGTAATAACTGGTCAATCTGAGAAAACCGCGGAGGTCCCTTACTGATCGTGAATTGGGCCAGGAGGTGATGGCTTGCACCTTCGAGGGGTCGGCAGACACCCTACCCTTAGAAATTATGTGGCCGAGGTAATCCACCTGGTCTCGGCCAAATGTGCATTTCTTGGGATTGGCATATAGCCGTTCACAGTGCAGCACTTGTAAAACCAACTCCAGATGCCGGACATGCTCCGTCCGAGTGCGATTGTAAACTAAGATATCGTCAAAGAAAACTAACACAAAATTACACAAGAAGGGGCGGAATACCTTATTCATTAAGGATTGGAACGTGGCGGGGGCGTTGGTGAGATTGAAGGGCATGACGAGAAACTCGTAATGCCCTTCGTGGTTCGAAATGTTGTCTTCTTCACATCCTGCTCCTAAACTCAAATTTGATGATAACCCGAGCGGAGGTTAAGCTTGGAAAAAATGCTGGCCCTATGAAGCTTATTCATCAACTCGTCGATGATGGGGATGGGAAATTTATCTGGAATTGTCAGCTGGTTTAACGCCCTGTAGTCCACACAAAACCGCCAACTTCCGTCTTTCTTCTTGACCAACAAAACAAGGCTCGAGAACGGGCTGGTGCTCAGACGGATTATTCCCGAAGCTAACATCTCTCAGACCAAGCGTTATATCTCCTCTTTCTGGATGTGGGGGTATCTATAAGGTCGTATATTAGGAGGAGAAACCCCTTCCCGCAACACAATATGATGGTCACACGCGCGACGTAGGGGCAACCCCTCTGGTAAGTCAAACACCGACTTGAACTGGTCCAGGAGACCGACTTGAACTGGTCCAGGAGACCGGCCAATTCAAGGGGTACCTTCCTGGCTGAGGGCCCTTGTTCCTCATCGGTTACCACCCATATCTCGAGTAATACCCCAAATTGCTCACAAAGTAAGGAACGAGAAATAGAGCGAACACTGACCTTAGCACAGCATAATGCGGGGTCTCCTTGAAGGCATACCTACTGGTTTCCCACCAAGTACTTCAGTGTGAACTAGGTCCAATCCGCCTGAACCTCCCCAAGAGTACTCAGCCACGTGACCCCAAGCACCAAATCCACATTTCCCAAATCAAATGGAAAGAAGTCTTCAATCACTCGATATCCCTGAATCAAGACCAGCACCGAACGGCAAACCCCCTCCTGTTGAAAAGTCATTCCATTTCCTACCTAAATCTTATGTCGGACAGTGAGATCTCAGGGCAAGTCCAGATCCTTCACCAGAGTGGACGACATAAAACTATGGGATGCACCACTGTTGACAAGAATAATGACCTCTCGTCCATTAATCGTCCCCTTAACCTTCAGCGTTTTCACCGAGGAACATCCGTTGAAGGAGTTGAGCCACAGAGCGGCTATTTCTGCCTCCGCTGAGCCCATTGAGGCGTGTACCTCCTCTCCCATAGCTGGCTCTTACATGCACTCGTCCTCTGACTCATCATCCGTAAGCATCAATACCTGCAGCGACCGACTCTTGCAGCGATGCCCCGGACCATATTTCTCATCACACCTAAAACAGAGACCGCGGGCCTTCTGTTGTTGTACCTCATTGAAAGTCAGCTGGCAGAATCCAGTGTCACCGTTGGGATAGGGCTGAGGTTTCGAGGTCACCGCCGTGAGCCCTTTCTGGTGGGAGTTCAGATCTCGACCTAATTGGGATTGAATGGAGCTATCTCAAGAATATAGGGCATTTGTCGGTATAAGTGGACTTGTTCCGGGTCGACCCGAATACTCCGGCCTGGAAAACTGCCCCGCCTGACTCCTCTGTACCCGATCTGCTGCCTCTAACCAGTCTTCTACCTGTTGAGCCAAATCCAAGGTCTCAAGCAATTTCATGGGCCGATGCATTTTAACCTCAACCCGTATGTCATCTCGTAGCCCATTTAGGAAGGCCCCTTTGAAAATGGGCTCTAGCACCCCTCTCAAGGAAGCAGCAAGTGCCTCAAAGGTGTCCCGATACTCTGCCACTCCACCGGTCTGCCTGAGTGCCATCAAACGCTCCGTCAGATCACCTTCACGCGCGTGGCTGAAACGTTGAATGATGGTCGTCCTGAGTTCTCTCCAACTAGTGAAAGGCTCTTATGCGTCAATCTATTGGGACCATCCTAGAGCTCTTCCTTCCATACAAATCGATGCTGCTAAAATCTACTCCTCGTCTTCTATGTCATTTACGGCGAAATAGGGCTCGGCTCTAAACACCCAGTCGTACGGGTCCTCCCTCTGGAAGATCGGAAGCTCCAGCTTCTTCCCACGAAAGTCGCCTCATCCCCTGTGACGTCCCAGTGAGATCTGGCGTTGTGCTCCCACTCCTTCCCTTCGTCAGATCGGGGATTCTTCTCGAGGAACCGCCCGACCTTTCTCCGGTTCCTGCCTTAGTGGTGTCCAATCGGGATGCCTGGCCTGTTCCCTTTCTGGATGCAACCTATCCAACAGCCGTGAGGGACATGCACCCTATACACATCATATACTCCCCTTTTTTTACTAAAACAAAGCCAAACAAATAAAAGAACTTCACTCTAGTGCAGCTTCTGGAATGGATGGAGTAGCAAGTAAATCAGCCAAGAAAGTAGCAGTTTCTCTCTTCTTCTGAGCTATCTCATTTTGTTCTTAAGCAATAGCCTTTTCCTACTTAGTGAGCTATGCCAATTCCTTCTGTAGAAACAAGATAGTGTGATGTTGCTGAGCAGTGTGGCCTGATCCAGATGCAACATTACCTGTGACATCCCCAGAAACACTCTCCCCTTCAACTTCTACTCTAGTACAATGAGTCTCCCCCTGCACATCATCCACATGCTTACCTTCCCTGAGTTTTTTAGAAACTCTAAGTGCCCTGGTAGGTGGTTCCAGCACATCCTCAGGAGTCTTAATGTTATGCTAAGACATTAGAACTCCATATATAAACGAGGGAAAGGGAAGAGCTGGTTTTGGTGATGTTACCTCTGCTTGGCTGACAATCTCTTCAAAGATGAGAGAACCAACATCAAATGGTACCTTTGTCCAAATTAAATAGAGCACATTTGCCAACTGTTTGTGTACTCTAGTGGAGTGGAAGCTGGGTAGCCAATTTTCCACAGTGATCTTGTGCAAAGTGGAGTACTTCAAGCTTAAATCCGCAGCTGGAAAACTCTTATCATTCAACCATTGACATCGAACTCCAGCTATTAATTCAGCAACCACCTTATCAAAGTCAACATTAGGCGTCGCAGGCTCCACATGACTTTCAAAGAAATCATTTATCACTTTTGGTGAGAAGTCAAACCTAATTCCTCTGACTAACACCTTATGAAACATGTCAGAAATCATGTCCTTAATAACCTTTAGCATGTTAGAATAGAAATCCACCACAATATTCTTGACAAATGGCTAAAGCTTGGAGACAGTACCAAACAAATTTTATTTTTTCAAAATTTAGACTATGCCTAATTCTTCATACTCACTCAAATGTGACATCCGTTCAGAATAAATCTTTCTTTTTAACATCACATTCCACAGAAAAGTAGCTGGTGTAGAACACGATGTAGGGGGAGTAGCAGACTTACTAGAATGTGGACCCATAATGCTGGCTCGAGTGACTCGTTGTGGACCTCCTGCCACTGCTGCTTTCTTCTTCTACTTCTTGGTCTGAACTTGTGATTTCTTTGACTTCTTGGAAGAAATAGGAGTATTCTTTGTTTTCTTCATACTTACTGGACCTTCAATGTCATCGTCACCATTTTCTTCTGCATGCATCTGTTCTTCTATCAAATGAAAGGTGGAGTCACTATCTACAGAGGCTGCACGCTTCTTGGAAGGTTGAGATGGAATTTCATCTTCAATTCGAATGGGTGATCGCGGTTTAAAGCCTTCAGGGTACACAGGAAATTGTGATTTCCAAAAGGGGAAGCCAGGCCGTGGAGAAGCAGTTATCAAATCCAGTGGACTTTGTATGTCTGCTGCTTTGGTTGATGAGTACCTTTATCTGGAGTTGAGTGGTTCCTCGAAGTGGTTGGAATACCCTGTGGAGTGGATAACGCATACTCGATTGATTCAGAGGACTGGCTTGGATGAGGAGATTCCCGATGAGTGTCGGGCTTTAAATGTTCTTCGTCTTCATGACTCCTTTCAAGCTTCAGAGTATGAACCACTATCTCCCAAGGCAGAACCACGATAAGAGGCACATGAGTTTTCTTGGCGGTCTGCGTTTTACGGCGGCGTAGAGTGGCAGACTTGCACATTGGTGTTTTCTTCCTCGGCGGTGGAGTTTTGGTTGATGGTGGCGGAGTTCTTTGCATGGCCATGATTACACGATCTTGGACGGCTTTCCTGAATCATTCAACATATGCATCTACTATTGCTCTTGGATTGCTTCTCGTGGACACCATTGTCGTGGCAGAGGAAGAGCAGAGACACTGGAATTGGAGGCTTAGGGTTTGAAAAAAAGAAGATGAATATTGACTTCAGGGGAAATTTTCTTTTTAATAACCGTAGGGTCAAAACACATTGTCTTTTTTCTTTTTTTACATAACATATATTCCCAATGCAGATCTTAAAGATTCAAACCTGACTGACTCTAATGTCTTTGTAAAGATGTCTGCCAACTGATTCTTTGTTACCACATACTCCAAACTAATAAGTTTACGTTTCACCAAATCTCAAACGTAGTGATATCGTATATCAATATGCTTTGTTCTGGAATGTTAGACTAGATTCTTTGATATGTTGATGGCGCTCAAATTATCATAGTAGACAGTCAAGATTTCTTGTAGAATTCCATAATCATTCAACATTTATTTCATCCATACCAATTGAGTATAACAACTCCCTGCAGCAATGTATTCAGCTTCGACAGTTGATAATGAGATCAAATTCTACTTCTTACTGTACCAAGAGACTAGGTTGTTACCAAGATAAAAACACCCTCCAGTAATACTCTTTCTGTCATCTGTACTGCCTGCCCAGTCTGCACCACTAAATCCAGCAAGTCTTCCATTAGTGTCATTAGAATACCAAATCCCATAGTCTACAGTCTCACTCACATAGCGAATGATTCTTTTTACAACAGTTACATGTGACTCCTTTGGATTAGCTTGATATCTAGCACATACACCAACACTGTAGCATATATCTGGTCCACTAGCAGTCAAGTAGAGAATACTCCCTATCATACTCCTATAGAGACTCAGATCCACAGACATGCCACATTCATCCTTTGTCAACTTATCATTAGTTCCCATTGGATTTCTCATGTGCTGAGACTGACTAAGACCGAAATTCTTCACTAGATTCTGAGCATATTTTCCTTGTGATATGAAGATGCCATTGTCCACCTGTTTTATTTGGAATCCAAGAAAGTAGTTTAATTCTCCAACCATACTCATTTCAAATTCCTTCTTCATTTGATTCACGAATTCATCCACCTTGGCTTGAGAGGTAGAACCGAACACAATGTCAACCAGATATATTTGAGCACTGATAATTCCTGAGTTAAACTTTTTGATGAACAGTGTCTTGTCTACTCCTCCCCTCATCCTTTTCTTCTCCAAGAAATCAGTCAAACGCTCATACTATGCCCTCGGGGCTTGTTTTAAGCCATATAGTACTTTCTTAAGCTTGTAGACATGATCTAGATGGTCTGGATCTTCAAAACCTTTTGGTTGTTCTACAAACACTTCCTCATTCAAGAATCCATTCAGGAATGCACTTTTCACGTCCATTTGATGCAGCTTGAACCTCATCATACATGTAATAGCTAACAATAGCCGAATAGACTCAAGCCGAGCAACCGGTGCAAATGTCTCATCAAAATCAATCCCTTCAACCTAAGTATACCCCTGAGCTACAAGCCGAACCTTATTTCTAGTGATATTTCCATTTTCATTTGTTTTATTCACAAAAATCCATTTGGTTCCAATGACATTTGAATCCTTTGGTCTGGGTACTAACATCCATACATCATTTTTTACAAATTGTTCTAACTCTTCTTGCATTGCATTTATCCAGTACTCATCTAACAAAGCTTCCTTAACATTCTTTGGTTCAATCGGAGAAGTGTAGCAGACATGCCTAACCATGTCACGGTAGATGATTCTTGGTTTGTCTCTGGTTCATACTCCTTCGTCTATGCTCCCAATTACTTCCTCAGCTGGATGATTATTCTTGATTATGGATGATGGTTCTCTAGTAGTCTGATTTGCTGCATCTAGATTATCTAACTTTTGTTTTGGCATCTGTGTTGCAGAGGATGTTCTAACATCGACTATAGCATCATCTATAGCACAGTCTTCAGAATGCTCCTCCTTGAACATCTTATCATCTTCTTCAGAAGAACTGTAAATCTCATCTATTGTGGGTTGCTTAGGTTCAACATTAAGATCATCAATTACTACATTTATGGATTTTATAATCGTTCAAGTCCTTTTATTGTTAACCCTGTAAGTACGACTAGTGGGAGAGTAACCAAGGAAAACTCCTTCATCACTTTTTGCATCATATTTTCCTCTTTGTTCTCTATCATTCAGAATATAACACACACTTCTAAAGACATGAAAATAGCTGAGATTCGGCTTCCTTCCCTTCCATATCTCATATGGAGTATTTCTTGTTCCTGGTCTGAAATACACTATGTTCACCGCGTAACATGATGTATGAATTGCTTCCGCCCACAATCTGTATGACAAGCCTTTTAAGTTTAACATGACTCGAGCCAGTGTTCTGTTCTTCCTTTCAACAACTCCATTTTGTTGTGGAGTTTTTGGTGCTACAAATTCATGTGCAATGCCATGCTTGTTACAGTGTTTAGTAAATATTGTGTTTTCAAAGTCTCTGCCATGGTCACTTCTAATCCTTATTATCTTCTTGATACTGCAGTTTTTCTCACTTTGAACCCTAGTACAAAGATTCTGGAATACTTCAAAAGTGTCAGATTTCTCTCTAATAAAGTCAACCCATGTAAATCTGGTGAAGTCATCCACACATACAAAAATGTATCTTTTTCCACCAATACTTTCAACCTGCATAGGACGCATCAGATCCATGTGAAGCAGTTCAAGAACTCCTGTTGTGGTTATGTATTGTAGCATTGTGTGTGACTTTTTCAATTGTTTTCTGATTTGGCAAGGCCTACACACACCAGCTAGTTTTGGTCCAAGTTTGGGAACTCCTCTGACTACCCCTGCATCAACTATCTTCTTTAAATTGTTGTAATTCAGTTGTCCGAGCTTTTGATGCCATAATTCAATATCTTCTATGGCAGTTTTATGACATGCAAGTGGATGAACCAACGTGTAACAGTTATCCGACGAACGAGATCCTTCCATAACACAATTCTTTTCCTCATCAATCACCTGGTACTTATCTTTTGAGAAATTCACATAGAGTTCTTGATCACATAGCTGGCTGATACTTATAAGATTTGCTTTCAATTCCACCACGAGTAGAACGTTCTTCAACCTTGGTAGTCTATCAACATCTAGAGTACCCTTTCCAAGTACCTTTCCCTTCATACCATCACCGAACGTTACATGTCCATCAGTTACACTTTTGAAATTCCTCAAAATTCCCCTTTCTCCAGTCATGTGCCTCGAGCATCCACTGTTAAAATACCATGAGTCGGTAGTACTTGCCTTCAAAGAAGTGTACGCCACGTGACACATCAAATCAGATTTCCTTACCCATACTTGGCATGGAAGTCTACTATTTACAATGATCTTCCTCCTTGGTGTCATTTTTGCGGTAACCTGTAGATTTGGATGCATACCTTGCTTCAAAAAAAATCAAATTAAACCAGAAAACAACCTGCAAGATGACCTCCAAAGAAAAAACTTGATTTACAGGGAAACCCCAACAACAACAACGACAACGACTATATTAGATGCATACATAAACATGGAACATAACAAAACATCGTAACAAATAAATAATAAAACTGACAGAAAGGTGCAATATAACCTCTAAAGAACAAACTTACTTGACTTTTGTGGAAAATCCAACGACTACGACAAATATAAGCTGTATGCACAAATAATTAATAGACTATGTCTTGATCTATCACACGCCCCACAATCTATGTGTCTCAGTGATATACCGATTAATTAATCATTGAATGAAATTAATAGTCATCTAAAAAATAGACCTAGTAATTGTATCTTCACTTTTTGATGATTTATATAATCATTTGATAAGTACCAGTGCAAAATCAATAAAGAAAATGAATCTAGCAGAGAAATAATTAATGGAGGAATCGAAATGAGTTGGATTGAATATTGACTGATAATGGTAGGAAAATATAGAGAGTTTTGCTTCTCTCCCGGGAGCAAAGCTCAAAACTACAATCAAAATTGAGCTACCCCACTCAAGTCCCATTCCTTCCCTTTTATTACCCACAAACGAAACCAACTTCTAAAGCCAGTAACTAACTCTCAGCAATCGCTAGGCTTAACCAAGTTCTCCCGCTAACAGACTTTCTTCGTGATATTGACCACATTTCTGATCCCTATTTGCATTTCAGTGGGCTGGTTTGGTATGAGAAGCTATGGGAAAGCGTATATTATAGCATTTCTAATTCGTGAATTTCTAATGATCGTCGTGTTTTGCATGTTGGATCCTTTACCATTCTATGTTCTTCCCGAAAGCGTGCTAATCCCATGCTCCACACAAGGGTGAAGACCATCAATTACCCTTCTGCCTCTGCTTCATTTTGCGAAGTGCACAAGTGAAACAAGCCAGAGCTTATAAAAAAAAATAATTTACATTGGGAGTAAAATCAGAACTGTATTTAAATAAAGCGTTGAAAACTGTCATTATGTAACGCCCTCCGGAATTAAACTTGTTTAATTATGATAATTGTGGCTTATTAGTGTGCCTAAATTGATTTTCTTAATTAATCATGAACTTTTAAATTTATTCTTAGTATTTGCAATTTCACCCCTATTTGTTTTATTTATTTTTCCTTAATATTTTTTCCAATTTTCTTTTCCTTCTATTTCTCCTTTTCTTTTCCCTTATTTCTTTTTCTTTTCCCTTCCTCACGTTACTCTCTCTCTCTCTCTCTTGATCTCCCGAGCTCTCTCCCTCACACACTCTCTCTCTCTATCTCGAGCTCTCTCTCTCTCTTTCTCTCTTCCTCCTCCGTTCATCTCTCCCTCTCTCTCTCAAAGTTTTCCTTCTCAAGGGCCGGATTTAAACCAAAAACGGAGGTTTCCAAGAGGTTTTCAACATCAAAGCTTGGATCGAGGTAAAACTCTTTGAAACTTACTTTAGATTTTCGGATTTAGCTTTGTCCTATTTGTTGATTTGAAACTGGATCTATGCATTTCCCTTGAGAATATGTTGAAATCGGACCCAAAATTTGCAGGTTTTGGCTTTGTTCCTCGCAAATCGGCCATTGTTGGCCCTAGAATTCTTCCCCACTGGTCGACCGATCACCCTTCCATAGGTCGACCGATCAGGTCGACCGGTCACCTCTCCACCGGCTGACCGGTGGAGTTACACTCCTCTGTCACCGGTCGACCGGTTCCCACTGAAACAGACCCTAAACAGCCTAGAAACCCTGTTTTGACCCCGAAACTCAATGTGGGATTGACCTAACCTCATTTGAGAACTCAAAATGAGTGGATTAGCCACATGAATCCTTGTTTTTCATTCGATTCTCCGGAATGAATCTCCATTTACAAAGAATCATGATTTGAATTAAGAATTGTTCATGAACATTGATTTTGAACTATGGCACACTAATATGATACAATTGCATCTAATTAAACAAGAATGTTTGATGAGAAAGGTCAAACTCTAAATTATTAATTTTGATGGGAAAGATAGTGGCACGATTGGAATTGGAGCCTCGAAGGTAAGCGGAGCTAGGGCTACGTGAAGACAGCCACAGGTTTGATACCCAACGGGTAGGATATTCTTATCCATATCCTTGTTAGCCTTACTTTAAATGGTTTTAGCCAATGAAAATGTTTTAGAACAAAACATGTTTTAAGAAAATGATTTCAAAGGAATAGCATGAGAATGCTATTAAGTTTTCCAATGATTTTGGAAATGAGATTTTAAAGAGTATCATTTCTTAAAATGAAATATTTAACGAATGATACAACGCATGGTGGCCACAGAGATCGGGATGTGGGAATCGCATCCTTGGGGGCAAGTCCCGAAACCCGTACGGATCCACTTCTTGTTTAGTGGAATTATGGCTCTGCACTTTTCATAGACAGACATTTTTACCGCTTCTTGTTTAGTGGTATGGTGAGCTGCACACTTTCATTATACAGATATTTTCTACTGTGAGTATTTTTTTTCTAAAAAGGGATGATCAGTTCAGGGTGTATATCTTCGGACCGTGAGTACCTTTATTTTAAATGCTTTATAAAATTTTATTCTACTGGGCCTTTCGCTCACCTTTCTTGTTTTCAAATGTATTAAACCCCTCCAGGAGACGCGAGGAGTAGTTCGGAGTAGGTAGCTACTACCAGTGGCGTGGACTTGACCTCGGAAAGTGAAGAGTTATCTTTCCTCTTATCTTTTATTT